TTTACATGTTAGGTTTTTTCTTTGATTTTTTATCTTAGGAAGCCCTTTTTTCTTTGATTTTTAATCTTAGGAACCCCTTTTCTTCTTCTTCTTCTTCTTCTTCTTGTTCTTCTTCTTCTTTTATTTATTTATTTATTGTGTATGTGTGTGCGCGCGTGCGCGCGTTTATCTTAAAAATGTTGCTTTACATGCTTGGGAATGATTTGGGAAGTTTCCTTAAGTTAGGCCATTGCACCCCCTTTTAGTTTGTGTTACAAAGCCATCATTAGCTAGGCTGTTTTTGCGTATATTTTGCTGCCTTTTATGAATTTCCAGTATATGAGTATGATTTGTATGCTTAGAAATATGGAGCAAGTTCCCAAAGGTTTTTACATTCCTTCTTTAACTCATGTATAGAATACTTCATTATGCCATGCTTAGGCTTCATTCTAGTTAATTTTCTTTATCTTGAATTTGTTTTGCAATGATTATTAACTTTTTGCATAACATTTAGACTTCCCATTTCTTTTAAAGTACTAATGAATTCTTTTTCTTATTTGTTAAAGTGAATAATCTTTGTCATGTAATTATTTTCTTTTTTGCCCTTATTACTCGTCATATTTATTCTCTATTTCGTAAATATTTGTTTTTGATTTATTTTTGGTTTACAAAAATCATGCTAGATAGAGGCGTAAACAATCATTGTATGTAATTATTTTCTTGTTTTTCCTTACTTGTCTAGATATTTATTCTCTGTTATATACATGTTGCACCCCTTTTGGTGCTTTTAGAAAGAAAGAAAACAAGAGCTGATTTGGTTTTGTTGTTTTCGTAGACTATTCTGTTCTTCAGTATCAAAATGAAATATGTACGGGAATGACTTTCGCAACTCAACCAATTTGGTCTAAGCTTTTGTTTGCTTCGAACAGAATGGAACTCTTGAAAATGGAAGAATATTTTTTACTTTTGCATATTGCTTTTATGTTATGCAAAAATGATATTTGAGTAGATAACTTATATTTTAATGCATCTCTATCTCTCTATCTCTCTCTCTCTCTCTCTCTCTCTCTCATGCAATAATTGTGGTCTCCCATCCTATGTCCCCCACTTCCTCAGTTTTCTTCCTCTTTCCAAGCATAATTGGGCATGTATTGCAGTAACTAGTTGTTGACTAGTTTTCATGGCAAGTTTGCACTGAAGTTGATTATGTTTTGGTTTATGTGTATTATGTATTTATTTTCTTCTCTTCCTTTCTTATCTTGGATTTGATTTCATGGTTTAGAAAACCATATATATTGCTTTTGTTCATCTGATATGCATGGGCAACCATTTATTTGTCTTGTGAAGTATTCTGCCTTTGTATTTTTTCTTTATATTTGAATGAATATGTAGCTTCATTAGCAATCAGATCTGGGAGTGGGTTACTCTTGAAAAGGGGGAAAGGAGGCTAAAAGATCTAATGCAATATTTGCACAAGGTTTGGATTAGTTTTGGGAGCCAGTAGGAAGTATATTTAGAGCAAAGTAGAGAGTGCATTTGGAGCAAATTTGGGTGAAAATAGTGGCTCATTTATTTTATTTTTTTTGATATGTAAAGTATCTTGGGACAGCTTACGTGTACCAGATTAAGTAATCTGTAGCCCCAAGAGTTTTGGAGGTGAGAGTCAAACTTAAGACCTTGGAAGGAGTAAATCCCTAAATCCTAGATCTCATCCACTAGGCCAAACCTTTGATCAAGGTTTTGGATTCTTGGTTAATATTGTATTATTCTTGAATATTATTGACGCTAAACGTCTCATTTCATTATTACTTCTTCCATCCCAGAAAATGATGGTGAAAGGCTTAAACTTCGTTTGGCATTTGATTTTTGGCTAAAAAAAGCATAAAAAAACAAAATTGACTACATAAGTTAATAAGACAAAATATCACATCCAAACCATAATCATTACACTTTTTTTCTCATAAAAATAAAAAAAACCAAAAAAGCCAAGCTGAACAAGGCTAAAAAAGTCCAACACAAAAAAGTCAATGCCAAATGAAGACTTGGACTTATGGCTTCTAGAGAGGAGCAGATTCCTGATTTGCTTTAAGGTTGGTTGAACCTGCAGTGATAAGTCTAATGACCAATAAATAAATTGTATTTTGTTGCTGATAATGATATCTCCTTGCTGAGAAATTTTTGGGTGCAAATAGAGTACCTTTCTCTTCTCTCATTGGTTGAGAGAGTGGGAGTTACATTTATGTGTTGTTGGGTAATAGGGAGACAATATAAGAGGCCATAGTGTTTATGATTGGTTGAAGACATCATGTGGCATGCCACAAAATTAGGAGATTTAGTGAATTGAAAACCCCTTTCCTATTCTTCTGTTGGTTGGTCTTCTTCGTCCATGGAGAAATTTTATGAAAAAAATAAAAAAATAAAATTCGATTCTTACTAGAAGTAGAATGTACAGTTGCATCTTATAGACATATTTTTTTGGGTTGTTCCTTGGCTAGAAAGAGAACCAATCTTTCTATTCAAAATTACCACATCATGTCCAAGTTAAATAATGTAAATAAGCAACCTTGCCCACTCCACATTCAGAGCAAGCACTAGTGCGTGTATATTTTATTTTATTTTTTTAAAATGTCTTTTGTAAGTATGGTTGCATTACAGTGGTGGTGCATAAAGGTTTCACAAAGAGGAGGTGGTGTGGCTGCTCTGCGGCTATTTGTGCTCATTTTGAGACCCGTTTCGATAATTTAAACCGTTCACTTTTTAAAATATATTGAGTAGAACATACCTGTAAAAAGTTGATCGGACATTGTTAATCATTTCATCAAATTGCATTTGTATCTACAAAAAATGAACGACAAATTTGATTTGACGTATAGAACTAAATACAAATACAATTCGATCAAAGGATGATTGATATCCGATTAACTTGATTGTTTGCACATATGTTCTACTTAATATACTCTAAAAAGTGAACGGTTCCGATTATTGAATGGATCCCAAAATGGACCCCAATGGCTACACAACAGTGGCTGATGTGCCTCCCACACAGCAGCCACACCATCTCTGCAGCAGGAGAGATTATGCAATATCAATATTGATCGGTATATGGTTAAATTGGAATGATCCCAATAGAATAATTAGTGTGTTCTTCCATTTAAATGAAGAATCTCAGCTTCTTGTTTGTGTCTTGGTTTTGCTTTCAAAAATGTACCAAGTGAAACTTTTATATTTGCTATGAAAAATAGCTTCAATGCAACATCAAGTAATAAAGTTTTAGATAAGGTTTCCACTTTGAACCCCCTTCAACTAGTGTTTGGTTGGCTAAAGTGATTTTGGACAAGAATCACTTTAAACCCTTTAGTAGTGTTTGGTTCGCTGGAATGATTTTAGACAACAATGGAATGATCCCAATAGAATGATTAGTGTGTTCTTCCATTTCATTTTGACTTTTTTTTTTTTGGGGGGGAGGGTGTTGGGATCAGTACTTCATTTCAATCTTCATTAAAATGACCTAAACACCACCTAAGTTTCACACGCCTCAACGAAATGGATTTTTTTGGTTATTGTTTATGTTTTTCCAATTAATAAATGAACAAAAGGGAAAGCCAAAGGTAATGACCAAACAAAACCATACACATGAGTCGGAGCTGAACTACAAGGAAAGAGAATGATGTTCAGATCAAGTAGGATTTCCACCCAAACAAAGGGAATCAAAAATTTTCGCAGGACATTACCCTAAATCTTCAAGCAAAGTAAGTTCTTGTCAAGTCATTAAGCACAGGCACTTTGCAGCTCCTGGCAAGCCTGATTTGGTAACAGTTTTTGTGTGTGTGTTGAACTAAAAATCCACAAAAAATGTAAAAACATAATATATATATATATATTGAAACAATTTCATCCAAACCATGGTTTGATCCTTAAAGTTCTACGACATATGTACAGATAGATATACATAAAAGAGCTAAATGTTTCTCCAATATTATTTTTCTATGCTTCCTACTTCCTAGCGAGGAAATATCCTTACATTTTAGCCAAATTTTTTTATATATAAAAAGGAAATACAACTCCATCATTTATTTCCAAATAAATAACCAAATAAACACTGCTAATATTTGTAACCTTGACCAAATAGAACTCCCTAGAGATCATAACAAATGGGTAAGTGAAGCCACGCCATACAAAAGTAGCTTTCCTCCATACTAAAACCACATTAACTTTGAATGAAGATCAACTAGAAGGTAAAGTTCATGACAATAATCAATTTTGAAAAAAATAATAATTAATAAATTCTATAATGGATTAGCTCAACCTCAACCATGGTTAAATAATTACCAGCATAGACCTTTTTCATTTTTCTTATCCATTTATATGGTATATAACATCAACAAAAAAAAAATTAAACAATAACGATTAAACCTTTTTCCTGCCAATTATCCTAATGCTGATAATATAGAAACAAATCTATTAAACATGACAATAGCTGTTTTGCATGAGAGCATCTCCAACGGTAGTAGGCATTTTACCTATCTGAATATTACTATAAAGTATATATTTTATTTTGCCTATCAACTGTTTTATGTTTTTACTCCAACCATGCTCTTTATTTTAGCTATTTATCCAAATACTATTAATTTTATAGAATGCTACGTCAACAACAAAGATGGAGGGAAATGATCCTAATGAATGAATACATTTTGCCTAGCGTTGAAGGCTAGCTACATGTAGCTAGTGAATATGAGTTGAGGCAAAATGCCTAATCATATGCCTAGTGCATTGGAATTGAAAAAAGTGAATTACACTAGGCATTTTAACTAACAAGTATTATATGCCTAGTGCATTGGAGATGCTCTGAGAAGCCAAAATGTCTAGACAGGCGTTATAGAGTCAAAACATAAGAAACAGTTAGCAGGATTCTAAAAGCAGACTTACAAATCCAAGCCAAATGTAACATAGTATTTGATCAAATCATGCCATCAGAGCCAACAACAGTTCTTGATAATTAAGTGCAATAAAGAAAGTAGAGATGGAAGGAAACAGACAATTCTAAACTTGTCCTTGAAGGTTGAATATCACCAATAAAAGTCATGGGAGTTCAGCCAAGTCCCTAGAGGGCTGATGAAAGTTTCTAAAACTAACTTGAAACTAGAATGATGTAACTTGAAACTTAAATGATATGGTGCACATAAATAGTAGTAGCAGTCGATCAAGATGCAAAATAAATAACAGAAAATACAAATAAAAAAAATTACGTCGTGCAATACAATCTCCAAAATTGTTCTAACGGCTAAAAACTTATGCCTCAATGAACTTCTTAAGGTTCTTCAACCACATCATGTATTCTCTGCTGTCTTTGTTGATCATGTACTCATGCAAGAAATTGGTTGTGCTGGGCTTGATTCCCCTAATCTCTAGATACTTGTGGAAAGCCTTTTGCAGATTCTCATCCAAATCCCTAAAGAAAAAATGGAGAGATTTGTATTAGTCAAAATAGAAGCCAAAATGAATTAGAAGGAATCCTTAACTACAACACTCACGTGAAATCAGGCCCCTCATAGGCAATTTGATCCTCAGAATTTTCTGGATCCTTAACTGACAAACTGTCTATTGCAATCTCATCAGGGAAAGCAGTACATTCAAACTCCAAACAAGGTCCACTCTTCTTAGAAACCCTAACAAGAAGTGGGATGCTAGATTGATTATTCTTCTCAGCATCATCATTGTCCGCATCATTGTCGTCGTCCTCACCAGTAACAAGGTTCGGCATGTGAACTTCAACAGTGATGGTTTCACCCTGATATTCTCTGGTCAATGATATTGTCTGGTGACCTGGGTTATCTTGAAGTTCAAAGGGAAAGTTATCTGGAACCTCTTCAGCCTATAAAAAGGAAAATGAATTGACAAAAACAACCATCTTGTCCAGGCATTGCATGCAATCTTGCTAGATAAGTTCTTGCAGGAATAATTGAACAAAACACTTATTTATCCAGAAAAAAAATAAATAAATAAATAAATAAATAATAATAATAATAATAATAATAATAATAATAATTGAACAAAACATATCTCGGGCATGTTGGAGCTTCAAAGCAACTTTAATATGAAAATTTGATGCCTCCTACTTGCTGGTCAGCAATATAACTTGAAGAAGAAAGGGAACATTCAAATATGCAATGGAAAACGGGTAATATATATATATATATATATATTTTGGAAATATCTGAATGATGTTAAACGCAAGTTGTTTTATTTACAACTTGAAAACAACTTGCATTTGAGATTTGGCAGCACAAGAATGAAGTACCACTATTCATTTCCTTACAAAAATTGCTTTTAAATAGAAAATTAGCAAGGATCTCTTTCCTCAATTTTTTTCCTTTTCTTTGGGGGAAAATTTGAACTATTCTTAATTCCAATTGAATGAATAAATATATTTGCTACATTTTCCCATATTTATTTGAAGGTTAGCCTCTTGAAGCCATATCTTTAATATTCACTAAGTTTGGATCGTGGAGTTGGAAAATAAAAGTGGCATAATAAGAGAGTTCTCTTCCTTTGAATTTTGATGGGTAATCTTGGTAACTATAAAATACATACAGCCAATCATTTAATTTTATCACCAAATCTCACCATTTTTGGTGGGAAATGAAAGTGGCATAATAAGAGAGTTCTCTTCCTCTCCATTTCTAACCCTTTCTCACAATTTCTTACCTAATTTGTAAAAAAACATGAGAAAGAGTAGTGTTTCTCATCATTTCTTATCATTTATCATCAATGTGTACAACTTTATCAGGACTTTAACGCTGTGTTTAGTTGGAGGATTTGGGAAGAGATTTGGAAAGAATTTGGAAAAGGGTGTGTGAAATTAGATAAAATGTAGGTATATTTTATTCACATTTCACTTTCCCTTTCCCTTTCCCTTTCCCTTTCCCTTTCCCTTTCCCTTTCCCTCCTCAAATCCCCACCCAAACACAGAATAACGGTCTGTCTAAACTGAGGTTCAAAAGCCACAAAGTGTGACAGTGGGGGATCATTTACATTGCTAATTTGTAGTGGCCTGATAATATGGCTTAATCAAATTGAGCCCTTTATTCGTATGAAATTAAATCATCAAGCCCTATATTCTCATAAAACTTGATGAAATTTTCTTTCCTGTGTTTTTAGGAAAATTGTAAAAATAAGAAATAAATAAATAAATAAAAGCAACAAATGAAAAGCCACGAACAAAGAATTAACCGATATAGAAGAACATAGAATAGACTAACAAAATAAGTTATAAAACGGTGTTATTTTCTGGAGAAGCAAACGGGGGATGAGAAAGTGACCTGATCATGATCGTCAGAGTCTTGGGCGCATTTAATCTCGGAGATGATGACTCGGAGGAGAGATTCGTCCGAAGTGGGGCGCTTAGAAGTGGAAGAGGAGTAGTGAAGGACCGACGGGAATGAAGTCCGAGAGAGTTGGCAGTGATTGACGACGGCACCGAATACAGAAGAAGAGCAGTGTCGGTGGTACCGGTGACTTCCGATGACTCGATTCGCTACAAGTACAACGGCCGAGGCTGACCTGCGAACCATGCTACCAAAAGCCATTTCAACAGAGACACGCACACACAGACACAGACGCAGACACAGAAAGATTTTTGGATTTTGGTTGCTTTGATTTAGGGTTTTAGACGCTTCCAGGGTTTTACACTATGTTTGGTAACCGAAGAGAGAAAAGAGAAGAAAAGAAAAGATTACCTAATAAGAGAAAAAGAAATAAAAAAAAATGGTTGTGATTTTTTTTCTTTTTATTTGGATAAGGAATAAATAAAAGAAAAGAAATAATTGTGATTTCTTTTATTTTTGTTTGGTTAGGTTTTATTAAGAGAAAAGAAAAGAAATTATTTTATGTTATATTACCAAAATAATTTTTTTATATTTTCAATCATTTTATTTCTTTTATTTTTATAGGGATAAAATTGGTATTATGAAAATAGTGGTTTCGTTTCTCTCTCAATCTCTCTATTTTGGGAAGATTGAAAATGAGGCTTATACGAGAAATGAATTTCTCTCCATTTCTTCTCATTTCTCTCTACTTAAGTTATCCAAACAAACAAAAGAAATACATATCACTCTATTTCTTTTCTTTTCTCTCCAAACCACTCAATCCAAACATAGCGTTAGAGATGTCTCTGGTCAGTTTATCCTTAATTGGCTAAATTATAAATGTACCCTTTCAAATTTATTTAAAATACGATTTATCTTTTCTAATTCTAAAAATTATATTCTGTCTTTTAAATTTTTTAATTTTATAACAAATTATCTCTTTTATTAATAAATTATCAAGTTAATTAATAATTTTTAATAATGTCAAATTTTTATTTTAATTAATAATTTAAGTAATTTTATTATATAAAAGAATATTTAAGAATAATTAATTTTATTAAATAAAAAATTCAAATAAAACAATATTTATAATTTTAAAATTTTAAAAAATAATCCGTATTTTAAAAGAATAATTTACTTATTTGGTTTTTCATAAATCACATCACTCAAAAGTAGGGCTGGCCATAGGGTTATCTGAACCGTATAACCCGCCCAATCAGCATACAAATTGGCAGTTTCACAAACACAATGGGGGCGGATGCGGTTTGGAATATGGCATAATTGCGGGTTGCGAGTTTAACCAAAACCGCAAAAACTCGCCCGCACTTAGAAAATATATATATTTTTTAACTTAGACCATTGATTTCATTCATCCTATCCTAGATATTTTGGGTCAACACACCAAACCCTAATTTCATGATATAAAAAGAAATATTATGGAGAATGTTGTTTGAGAACATTATTTTTTAATATTTTTGTTTGCTTTGTGAACATTGTAAGAAATTAAATCTACTTATTCATGAAGGAGAAATTGAATTTGTTAATTATTTTTAAATTGAAATCAATTTTATATTATATTGAATCTGAAAATGAAAATTGAATCTAGAAATTCAAAAAAGCCCAACCTATAAACTATCCGCAACTGTCCGAACATATGCAAATCTTGTCAACACAAACCGTAACTTTCACTACCGCAATTGCAAATTAAATTTTTGTCGAACCGCATATATATATATATATATATATAAACATAAACGGATCCAAACCAATCTACAACTGTGGAAAACCAAACTACAAACATCCCTACTCAAAAGTCATCCCACTAGTCTCTCTCCAAAGTAGCGAAAACACTCCCAACCAACCAATTTTCCCATTCCACCTTAGTTTTTCTGTTTGTCAAACTCAGAGTGTACCCACAAACACCCACCGCACGCACCACTACTTGCTTTCTAAAAGTCGCACCTTTAAACATAGGGTAATTTTCAAATATACCTAAAATTTGTTTAAAATACAGATTATTTTTATAGTTTAAAAAATTACAAATACACTTTTATTAAAAAAAATTATTTAACAGAATTAACTAAAAAAATAAAATTCATAATTGTCCTCCTATACAATAATAAAATTACTTAAATTATTAACTGAAACATATTTTTAATATTATTAAAAATTATTATTTGACTTGATGATTTATTAATAAAATGGTTATTTAACAGAATTAATTAAAAAAATAAAATTTCTAACTGTTCACTTATACAATAATGAAATTATCTAAATTATATTAAAAACATTTTTAACATTATTAAAAACTGTTAATTAACTTGGTAATTTATTAATAAAATGACATATTTGGTATGAAATTAGAAACCTTAGGGGGCATAATGTAATTTCTAAAATCATATGAGATAATTTGTAATTTAAATAAACCTCAGAGGGTGTGTTTGTAATTTACCCTTAAAATAAATTATAAAATTATATAATTATGATTTTCTATATATATGATTTACACATAAAATTTGACAAAATGAACAATTTAAATTATCAAAATAAATTTTACAAGGCCCAGCAACAACCTCTAGTCTACCTTACAGACTAGGGACAAGCCTTCCTTCTTCTTTTTTTTTTTTCGAACCAGGAAAGTAGATAAACAAAGACAACAAGCAGAAAGTAACAAAAACTCAATGCTCTTACAGCAACAGAACAAGAGCAGAGGGTGGATTTGGGACCCAATCAATCGGAAGAACTCCGTGAAGAGAAGCTTGGGCCACCCAATGAGCTGCTTGATTTGCTGTTCAAGGCTTCTAACTGAAGGCCCAATTTCTATGCGCAGCCAAGCACTTGATGTCGCCGATTATCACATTGCAATCCCAAGGCGGATCAGTTTCAGAAACACACGAGAAGATTACGGTCTTGTTATCCCCTTCGATCTCCACCATATTCAGGTTGTGGGCTTGTGCCAATTGACAAGCACACCTGCAAGCTAAAGCTTCTCCTTGCAGCGAAGATGAAACTCTCCAAGATTGAGTAAGACCATCTATCAATCTACCCCTTGAATCCCTCAACAGAATAGCAACAGAAGCTTCTGAAGAGCCTTTTTTAATTGCCACATCACAGTTGATCTTGTAGGTCCCCGGATTCGGGACTTGCCAAATTATATTTCTCTGTGAAAAGCCCCCTTCATTCTGAATTGGCCTTTTATCTCTACAAGCTGCCTTATCAAACTCCAATTTTGCCATTCGAGCTCTAAACAAAGTCGAGAAGGGCATTACCTCAATATGATTGAAAACAAATTTGTTTCGGTCTTTCCAGATAAACCACCCGATCCAAACAATGGGACTGAAAAAACTCTGCCACTCCTTCGATGACTCAAACTTCTCCAACAAATCACTCGACCATTTAAGGACCGAGAGGTTTGGACCACCTTCAATTTTAAATTTTAGGTCACTGCCAAACCAGACAGCTCTTACCCATTCACAACGAATAAAAGATGTTCAATTGTCTTAGGGTATTTTTGACAGATTGGGCAAAGCCAAGTCCCCGCATATTTCCTGCGAAATAGATTCTCCTTTGTTGCGAGCACATTCTTACACACACGCCACCAAAAGTGTCTTAGCTTTGGAGGGATTTTTAGGGCCCAAATCAATTTCCACAACTTTCTTGAAGGGTGAAAAGAAGATTGAGGAGTTTGAGAGAGCTTACTACACGCCTCTGCCCTTGCTACATTATAACCCGACTTCACCGAATATTTGTCGTCTGGTTCAAAATGCCAAATAAGAGAATCTGCTTTTGCTTCTAAAGCGATAGGATTGGAGCTTATGGCCTCAATTTCTACTTCAGAAATACAACACGAAAGAGAGTTTTCCTTCCATCTCTTGGATAGGGGGTATATACCATCCGAGACCTTCATAATATCATTTCCTTCAGGTTTTGGAGAGGTCACTTTAAAACCTGGAATTGAAGGAATCCATCTGTCTTCCCAGAATTGGACATCAAAACCACTATTCACTTGCCAACGAACACCTTGCTGTAGAATGTTCCTACCTTGAAGAATACTTGCCCAAGCCCATGACGCCCGACGACCTTTTGTAGCTTGCAAAAAATTTGAGTGGGGGAAATAGATGCCTTTTAGAATCCGCGCACAAAAAGCGTGAGGATATTTCATCAAACGCCACCCTTGCCGAGCCAAAAGAGCCAGATTAAAAGTATTGAGATCTCGGAAACCCAGCCCACCATCTAGTTTTGACATACCCATGATTCCCCAGCCAATCCAATGGACCCCTTTTCCCTCCGGATCAACCCCCTACCAGAAATTGCTAATGTAGGAATTTAACTTGGCACAAAACTTCTTTGGAAAGGCAAAACAGGCCATTGCGTAAGCAGGGATAGCTTGAACCACAGCTTTAATTAGAACTTCATTTCCTGCTTGAGATAACAATTTTTCCTTCCAACCTTGCAATTTAGATAGAACCTTCTCAAGAATATACTCAAAGGCTTCCGCTTTTGAACACCCCCAAAAGAAAGGCAAACCAAGATGTTTTGCATCAGGCTGAGACATTCTGAGACTTGAAAGGTTACAAATCGAACTACAAACGGCTAGCGGAGTATTAGAAGAAAATTGCACACTTGATTTATCAAAATTAACTACTTGTCCCGATGCTTCGCAGTAAATCCGAATAAGATTCAGCACATGCTGACATTCTGAGGTCTCTGCTTTTAGAAAAAGGAGAATATCATCTGCAAAAAATAAGTGGGAGAGAGTGGGGCAATGTCGTGTGATCTTCAAGCCTGTAATCTGTTGGACTCGGAGACTGCGAGTAATGAGATTGGAGAACACATCCGCAACCAAAATAAATAAATAAGGGGACAGGGGGTCCCCTTGTCGTAGCCCACGGGTTGGGATGAAGGAGGCTCTTTTTTCACCATTTACAACAATAGAGAAGGTTACCGTAGTCACACATTCCATAATCCATTGGATCCAAGTAGGATGGAAACCCAATTTCTGCAAAACTTCATATAAAAAATCCCACTCGATGCGGTCATAGGCTTTGCTGAAATCGAGTTTTATTGCCATATTTCCTAACTTTCCACTCTTCTTAAGCTTCAAAGAATGAAAGGCCTCATGAGCCACAAGGATATTATCTTAAATCAAGCGCCCGGGAACAAAGGCAGATTGATTTGGAGAGATGAGGGCCTTAAGAATTTTCTTCAATCGATTTGCAAGAATCTTGGTTATGATTTTAATGCTGAAATTACAAAGACTAATGGGCCGAAATTGCGAGATATTGACTGGGTGGGCCACCTTTGGGATTAGAACCAGATTTGTCTGGTTTAATTCTTTGAGCAAATGACCTCCCAGGAAAAAGCTCTTCACAGCTAAGCAAACATGCTCTCCAACTTCATGCCAATAAGTTTGATAGAAAAAACCTGGAAATCCATTAGGCCCAGGAGCTTTAAGTGCACCCAATTGAAACACTGCTGTTCGAATTTCGGCATCACACACCGGAGCTATCAAAACACGGTTCACTTCTGTTGTGACCAACGGCTCAACCACTGATAAAGCTTCCCCCATGTCCCGATTCCCAACACTAGTAAAGAGGTGTGTGAAGTAACCCAGCATATGTTGATCGATCTCCATATCACTATATAACCAAGACCCATCCTCAGATTGAAGCTGAAGAATTTGATTTCTTTGCCTCCGTTGAATCATGGAAGCGTGGAAAAAATTAGAGCTCTTATCCCCATAATTTAGCCATCGAACTCGCGACCGTTGATGTAAAAACATTTCTTCCCAAGCTAGCAACAGTTCCAAATCAGATTTAATTATACTCTGAAGATTCAAAATATCATTGGAAACAGGTAGGATTTGAAGAGCAGCCAACTCCGACTTGAGACGGGTGATCTGAATTTTATTATTCCCAAAATGTTCTTTGCTCCATACTCTTAGCCCATCCTGACAAGCTTGAAGTTTTTTGACAATAGCAAATAAGTGAAACAATTATTAAAATAGAAGGTTAAAATAGAAACTCATTTTTAGCTCAATACAATGTAAAAATATTTACTCTTTAACTATGCCATGCTCTAGATACGAAGTTTATGGTATTTGATTATAATATATTGTGGTTATTGTGATGTCATTTATGATATATTTTGATTATGATCTAAAAAGTTTTTAATAATACATTATGCGGTGTTTGATGATGACTCAATTTTTTAATTTTTAGGTATGATTATAAAATGATTCTGTTATGACATTTGTGATAATCGACTAATTAAATGTCATTACTAATACAAATATCATAACTTGTATATGATTTGCACCCTAGCATACTCCTTTTCGCACAACCAACTCTCATATTAATTTTTTACCATTAGATCTATTTTTCGAAAAAAGAGCAATTACATCCCGATGGAACTTTCTAAAACTAATTATATAGATTCATGAAAAAAATTTAAGATTTTAATTATTAATTTTTATAAAGTTTATTATATGTTTGGTAACGTTTATGTTTTCAGTTTATATTTACAAAAATTTTATAAATTGATTTTTGTTTATTTTTTGTTTATTTTTAGAAAAACATAAACTACAAACACGTTTGGTAATTAACAAATGTTTAAAAAAAATTAAAAATATAAAAAAGAGTGAGAAATGGCAAGTGGTGGCAAGTGGCGGCGGAAGACGGTGGTGGAAAGTGGTGTCACCATGCTGAAGAGGAATCGAGCGAGAGAACTTCGTATTGATTCGATCCTCTGAGACTAAAATTAGGGTTTAGAGAGAGAGAGAGAGAGAGAGAGAGAGTCACCTTTGGAGTTGTGAGAATAGATCGACTTTGTGTAGGGTTTGGAAATAGGGGTTTGAAGAGAGACAAGGAGTGGGTTTGGAAATAGGGATTTGGAGGCGCTTTCAAACGACCTCTATTCAGAAACCGGACCGTTTTAATTAACATAAAAGGGGACATTTACAAAACGTCATTAATTATCAGAAAATGTGACGTTTAAATAAACGCCGTTAATTAAACATCGCTAAATCCATGATTTCCTGTAGTGGTAGCAAATCACTACCCCCGACCAGCACAAGGATTGGATCCAGATCTTTTGATTCCAGATTTGGGCTAACCGGTCCGAATGGATTCACAAGTGGGTGATCCGTGGTCTCTCCAATTGGTATTGATAGCCTCCAAAACCTACCCAAATTATTACCCAATTACTCAATTAATTAATCCAACAATTTTAAAAAAATAACTAGTATATATATGGGTATAGATTTTTTTTGTTCCCCAATTTTTTATAATTTGAATGTGTCATAACAGAATTTCAAGACATAATTTAATAATTTGAGACTAATGGGATAAAGTAATTAAAAAAAAAATCCTATCTATTCTTTTTATCTATCTATCTATTACTCCCTCCATCCTAATTTGTTAGCTCCTTTTGAGAATTCTCACTTTTTAAAGGACATACAATTATTATACTTAAATTTAAATTTCAAAATATTATTTCATTAATGCCCTATATTTTCAAAATTTTAATATATTTATAATTACGCAAAGAGATAATATGAAAAAATTAAATATTTTTTACTTTGACTTTACAAATGGGACTATCATTCTAGGACATACCAAAATGAAATAGTGGACCAACAAAATACAACAGAAGAGTATCTTCTATTACATAATACAAAGGGTTGGTGTTGATCCTTTTTTGTCACATAATTTTTATTTTTAGATTATTCTTATGTTATAAATTCTTTTATAGTGGCCAATTTCAACTCACCTAAAAATTTTAAACATCTTTTTTCTTTGAACTTAATTAGATCAACTGTCTTAATTAAATTAAGTGGGCTAGGCTAGCCCACTTTTTTTCTTTGAACTCAACATTTTTAAACATTCACCCATCTAAATTATTCCCAATTTTTTTTCTTTTTTTTGAACATCCAACTACTTAATTTCAACTATATCGATACTTTCTTAGACTCCCACCCTTGTCATTCTCATTTCTAGCAGCCCTCTTCCCAACCTTCCTCGCCAACCCCAATCTTTCCCAACCCTTCTTACACCCCCCAATCATTCCCTTGTATTTTTTCTTTTAACACTTGACTAAATTCCAACTATCTTAACAAATATTTTAAAAGTTAGGGATGACAATAAAATCTCAATATCATGATAAGGTTAAATTGTTATAAAGAGTAAATTACAAATACACTTTCTGAAATTTGTTTAAAATACGAATTGCCCCTTGTAGTTTGGAAAATTACAAATACCTCTCTGTCAAAATTTGTTATTTAACAGAATTAATTGAAAAAGTAAAATTTCTAACTGTTCACTTATACAATAATAAAATTATCTGAATTATTAATTGAATTTTTTTTAACATTATTAGAAACTGTTAATTAACTTGGTGATTTATTAATAAAATGCCATATTTATTATGAAATTAGAAACCTTAGGGGACATAATGTAATTTCTAAAATCATATGAGATAATTTGTAATTTAAATAATTCTCAGGAGGTGTGCTTGTAATTTACCCTTAAAATAAATTATAAAATTATATAATTATGATTTTCTATATATATGATTTACACATAAAACTCGACAAAATGAACGATTTAAATTACCAAAATAAATTTTACAAGCCCAGCAACAACCTCTAGTCTACCTTATAGACTAGGGACAAGCCTTCATTCAATAACAAATAAGTGAAACAATTATTAAAATAGAAGGTTAAAATAGAAACTCATTTCTAGCTCACTACAATGTAAAAATATTTACTTTTTAACTATGCCATGCTCTAATTACGACGTTTATGGTATTTGATTATAATATATTGTGGTTATTGTGATGTCATTTATGATATATTTTGATTATGATCTAAAAAGTTTTTAATAATACATTATACAGGATTTGATTATGACTCAATTTTTTAATTTTTAGTTATGATTATAAAATGATTCTGTTATGATATTTGTGATAATCGACTAATTAAATGTCATTACTAATACAAATATCATAACTTGTATATGATTTGCATCCTAGCATACTCCTTTTAACACAACCAACTCTCATATTAATTTTTTACCATTAGATCTATTTTTCAAAAAAAGAGCAATTACATCCCGATGGAACTTTCTAAAACTAATTATATAGATTCATGAAAAAAATTTAAGATTTTAATTATTAATTTTTATAAAGTTTATTAGTGATTTGTATTTTTTTTTTTTTAAAAAAAATACACTGACTTGATATTTTCTTTAAAAAACATCTAGTGATCAAGACATAACAAATTTGACATTTGACTTTGCCACATTTTAGCCCAAGGTTCGGCCCACCATCAGCATAGGTTTTTTTATAATGGTATAGCCAAAAATGGCTTTGGCTCATGAATTTGGCACATTATTAGAGATGCTGGGAAATCTCATATTTTTACACTGTGTTTGGTTGGAGGATTTGAAGAGAGATTTGAAAAGAAAAAGAGAAAAGTTAAGTGAAATGTGAATAAAATATACCTACATTTCACCTAGTTTCACACACCTTTTCCCTTTTCCTTTCCAAATCTCTCCCCAAATCCCCCAACCAAATTAAGGTATTTTAATAAGAGGTATTGATGTAAAGTATTTTTAAGGAATTTGGCTCATGAATTTGCAATTTGCTTGCACACATCACGTTTTTCTTGCAATGCAAAGTACATGCTTTCAGATACTTTTCAGATGGTTGCAATTTCACATGGTGTAGGCCACACAATCCTGTTCTCATTTCGCTCAAACTCAAATTCAAAACAAAAATGCTAGAGATCCAGATTTTCTACCAAACCCACACCCATGTGAGTGTTTAATAGAAATTTTGTATCCCTAGCATTGCTCAATTCAAAAAGGAACAGAGCTTCAAGTCACAGCCATAATTCTATAAAAGTAGAAGTTTTGACCACCTTGAACTTCACCTCATGACAAGCAGCAACATCAGCGGTGACCATCATCAGCAAGTGAGCTTGAGTTTCTCCGGACAAACCATTTTCACTGATCTGTTTGCTCCTTGACAAGACAAGTAACATGAGAACAAAGAGAAAAACTACCAAATAATTTATTTCTATATACACTAAAAAAATTACAGAGCTCACACCACTGATTGTATATTCATATTTAAAGTTTAGACCCTTCATATCAGACACTAAATTTTACACTTGCAAAGGAGGAGAACTACAAGAGAAAAACAAACGCACATCACATTCATAATAACTTGTTACCCTGAACAGACACCATACCTTCACATAACTATCTCTGGCTTTAGAATGCTAGATTTAATCTCTTTGTGGGGCAAAACTACACCTCCATTGCTGTAAATTTCATCACAGACATGAACATCCTCTCCAAGAATGGTCATGTTCTCCACACGAGCCCACTGCCCCACAGTGGAGTGCCAACCAATGATGCTACAGGAAATGCAAGCATGTTTCTTGATGCGGACCCCACGCATTACAGTGCAGCGCGAGAGTCTAACTCCTGACTCAACCACACAGCCAGGTCCTATTGCAACGTCAGGCCCAATCAAGCATCCTTCTCCAATTTTTGCAGTCTCATCCACCAAAACATTTCCTACAATATGAGGTCCAGCAGCCAATTTAGATGAAGATTTCTTTCGCAAAGAGTCTAGGTAGAGTCTCAGGCCAGTGATATAATCCCTCGGCTGCCCAATGTCCATCCAAAAGCCAGGTAGAATCATAGCATAGAGCTTTTTCTCTGCTGCAATTTTCGGGAAGACCTCTTTCTCAATTGAGGTGGGCCTTAGTTCAATTCGATCAAGAACAGATGGGTTCAGCAAGTAAATCCCAGCATTGATCTTGTTACCCACGAATAGTTTAGGTTTTTCTACAAATTTTTCAACTTGCCCAGTTGATTCTTCCGTAACAACAACACCATATTTTGACGGCTCATCAACCTATATCAACCAACCAAATAATTTTCAACCATCTAACTTTGATTTAGATAATTCAGAATGTCTCAAAGAAGGAGAATTCCAGGAATCATCTGACGTTACCTTGGTTACCATAATGGAAGCCTCACCTCCATGGGATTTGTGGAATTCGATCATCTCTTTGAGAGGGTATTCACTAATAACATCACTGTTAAGAACAAAAAATGGTTCACCACTATCATCTATCAGTTTGTTCCTTGCCAGAGCCAGAGGACCTGCAGTGCCAAGTGGTTCTGTCTCTTGTGAACACGTTATCTTGATTCCAAGTTTTGTCTCAAATTCCTTTAAGAAGTTCAGCATCACCTACAGAAACAAGGTGTATTTACCAGAGTTCATATATCAACATAAGCATTGTCTGAACAACACATGAACTTTATCATAGTAAAAAGAGCTCTAGTTTTTTTTACCTCTGGTTGGTAATTGATCGCTAGAACAACTTCACTTACTCCAATAGCCTTGAGAGCCTCAATCTGATATAAATCATAAATCAATTACATTAATCTATGTTGAGCACACATGACACACACACAGAAAAGGGGATATGCATGACGTAGTATGAAATTTTCTCATCAATCAGACAGAAGTTCATCTTTTCCGGAAGAACTTGAGTATTTCTTACCCAAAACTTACTTGATAGCACTTAAAGTAGGAAATGTCATGAAATAGGGATTATTATATTCGGATTATTTAAATAAACAGAGAAATCCCCTGGTAAAGAATTCAAAATTTGAATTGTAAGATTTGAGAAATCAAATTATCAATAACATGCTTAGGCTTTGAAACCTTCCCATTTAACAGAAACAACCTGTTTCGCCTAGAGTAGTCGAACATGGAAATATGTAAGCAGCAGAAACTTTTGGAAGGGACACAAGAATCATTAAAAGAATTGTGTACTGGTATTGCTCATGTCAACAATTTAATATCAAAGAACTTGTACAAAAAAAGGAATTCAATGAAGAAGCATACTTGAATTTATCGAAATAAATTACACATGAAACATTGAAGATTTGCTAAGATATCATAAGATTCATACCTGATGCAGGATCATTGGTTTGTTGGCAAAATCAACAAGTGGCTTTGGGACACTGAGTGTCAATGGCCTCAACCGAGTACCGAAACCTCCAACCAGAATAAGAGCCTTCATTGTGAGATGCCAGTTTACCCTATCAGATAAATAGTCAAAATATCAGCAGAAATCTATCACAAACTAATATAGAATGCAATTCAAAATACTGTTAGATGATGGATTTCCATGCCCTTTCATATTTATTCAAGTGAAAAAGGAAGGACACATTCCCATGGAATTCTATATCAAAATTTAGGATCAGGAGAAATGGTAATAAGATCATATCCACGGGCAAACCTGTTGGCCCTTTACTGACAGGTGTAAAATTAAGCTTGACACAAAATCAACAAATGCGGGGAACAGCAAAATCAACAAATGCGGGGAACAGCAAGCAACGCCAGTCTATTACTCTATATATGAATAGGAGGCAGGAAAAAAGTAAAGGACCCTAAAAATTCAAAGCCAGGCTTCAAGGAAACGCCAAAAATAACCATACACGCGTCATAAGATAACTCATAACGCTAAAACAGCGATGGGAAATCCGTCCAAAGGTATAAAAAAACAAATTCCAGCTACACCACAGGCTGGAGGTTTTAATCGGAATGACTAATCCATCAAATTTTATGATGGGCTACTCCATAAAGGATAAAGAGTCTAGATCCGGATTTGGTTGGGAGTTAAACACTACTTTAATTGTCCGATAAACTGATTTAAATGTCAAATTTTCGAGATAAGTAACGGGACTTTATTTATTAATTTTTAAATGAGTAGAGCTGGAAAAAGTAGTGATAAGGAGAATTATTACATAAAAAAGGCCCCAATTCCCCAAAAAATAGCTTTAAATGGAATTTCCCAAAAAAGAACATCTAAGGAAAGCCTCACCTTAATAACTGGTTCAATTGAGCAATTATTGCCATATACGATAAGGCTACAACGATGCGACAAAATCTTAAAAATAGGACACTAAAACAGCCAAGATAAGTTGAATTTTTTAAAAATAATTTTTAGTATTGTATTATATGTAAGCTCAACGAATGGTGAGAAACTATTATTTAGAAATGCTAGTTTATTTGCTTATTTAATTGTTAAAATTCATTTTAGTATCATTATATATATTGTTTATCCATACTTCCTACAAAGTATGGCTATAGATATGAGACACATGTATGACACACCAAGGATACACAAGGGTACAAGTCTAAACTCAATATTTTCTTCTTCCATTAAAAATAAGATAAGTATTAAAAAACTATTTTTACATTTAGCATGACAATATACTCTAATACTACACAAGAATTACTACAATCTTAACTTCAATAGTTTGGATACGTGACTTAGAGTATCCGTTACTTCTCAAAATTTAAGAAAATTAATATCAAATATTGGATATGTATTTGCCAGTATCCAAGGAGTACCTATATCCAATATCGCTATCATATGGATACGACTCCCTTCTCAAAGTATCTGTACTTCATAGTATAATATAGAGCAATTAATCATTATTCTATTTGCGTTTATTTATGGAACACCAATTTTATTCATAAAAAAATTCATAGGTTAAATGAAAATGGAGTTCCAAATTTTCCATGGGACACAATGATCAGTAAGGCATCGTCTTCTGATTCTTCCTGACCAAAACCAGAAGAAGTAAAAAGTAAATAAGAGAACCAATATAGATAGAGAGCAGTGGCTTCCTAGTTGAAAATTTTGTTTGTTGCTTATGACAAAGTATATTTTCCAAGCGAGAACAAGTCACCAAAAACCTCGATCAAACCATCAAAGCTTTGTTCATATCCAGACTAATATCTGAAGACCAAATCCACAGTGTCTGATTTCTATTTTGTCACTCTACAAATGATCCAAGGGGGTAATTTCCAATTGAAAAAAGTTGAAGAAATAATATATATACAACTATATAAAGTGAACACTCCATTTTGTGTGAACAAATATGTGAAACTGTAAAACGAGGGTTTTTTTTTTCATTTAACTTTACCAAAATTGATAATTCACCACCTGATTAGCACCTTTTTCTCTATCAACTCTCGAGGGGAATAATGTATATTCCATTAATTTGATATCATTGCAATTCTATTTTGCCACTCTACAAATGATCCAAGGGGATAATTTCCAATTGAAAAAAGTTGAAGAAATAATATATATAAAACTACATAAAGTGAACACTCCATTTTGTGTGAACAAATACTTGGATCATTTCCAATTGAAACAAGTTGACATATTGTCAATTGAAGAACATATATAATATATATACAACTATATAAAGAGAACACTCCATTTTGTGTGAACAAATATTTGAAACTGTAAAACGAGGGTTTTTTTTTATTTTATTTTTATTTAACTTTACCAAAATTGATAATTCACCACCTGATTAGCACCTTTTTCTCTATCAACTCTCGAGGGGAATAATGTATATTCCATTAATTTGATATCATTGCAATCGATGAACCACATCCCCCATGATATCTCTCTCACCTCAGAGGATCAAATCATTTTAGAAAAAAGGGTTAAATATTTTCTTTATATTCCACATTAATTTTCTCTATAAAATAACCATCAAAGCCAACCAAGCAATAACTACATATAAGCACAAAAATGCAAAATCATTTAGACATAATCAGATAAATACATGCCAGATCTGATGACGCAAACAATATACATTAACACATGCACTAGTACAATTGAGGATAAAGGTCAAAGTTAATCAAATGATCGAAACAAAGCCATAAAATGTGATCGAGAAAATTGAACAATTTTTACATAATAAAAGCAAAATTTCGATAAGATCGTAAGCGCATTGTTGAATAGCACTCAAGATCTACAAACAAGGCATACAGAACAGATCAAACGACGCGCCACAAAGCTGAGAACGATAAAATTACCTTGAAAGCAACAATCAAATAACAGACACGAGAGCTACAGTAGAGGACAAAGCGTAGATCAAGAATATAATCAACAGAGACTTTACCTTAAATCCAAGCGTCGAATGAGTTACAGGAAGAGAGTCCGAGCGAGTTTTCAACGGTAGAATCTGACTCGGACCGAGTCAGAATTTCCCTCGTTTTTTCTCTGAAACCAACGGTAGAATCTGACTCGGACCGAGTCAGAATTTCCCTCGTTTTTTCTCTGAAACCCCCCTCCAACGGTTTTCCTCAATGTTGTGTTCTCGTTCCTAGGGCGTTGCTCGAACCACCCTTCACCGTATATATATTAGACTTTACCGAAGGACGAAAAAAAAAAAAAGGTAAGTATAAAAAAAGGTAAGTATATTTCATAAATCCCCTCAAATTTTTTACTAGATAAATCCCCAAATATTTCATATGGATATTAGAGACCCCACCAATCACCACTCCCACCACCCACACATATGGCGGCTAGTGATTGGAAGAAAAGGGAAAAAAAAAAGAAAAGAAAAAGAAAAATTGACCAATAGAAGGGAAAGTGGGTTTGAAACATTTTTCTTTTTACTAAATAAATAATCAAATATCTCATATAAGTGTATGGTCCATAAAATTACAGATCTTACCTCTACCTGAAACATTTAATCATTTATTTGATAGAAAATTAATTATCTCTAGCATTACCCAATCTTAAATAGTTGTCATAAATTGTTTAGTTTTATTTTTTATTTATAGATTTAAAGATTTCATTTTAGTGTAAATTACATAAAAAAAAAAAAATTAAGTATAAATGCACATGTGTTATGTGTTGAGAGACAAATATGAATTTTCTCAATATGTTAAAATTACTAAATGTAACACATCAAAAAAACTCTTTAGTATACTTTTCTTAAACATAACATTCTAATGTAATACTCCAATATAACATATTAAAAAATTACTTAGTGTACTTTTTTTAAATATAATAACATAACATTTAAAAAAAAATCTTTAAAGCACTTTTTCTAAACGTAACACTCCAATCAACATAACACACTAAAATTTTTTAGTTTACTTTTTTCAAAAGTAACACTCTAATGTAACACACTAAAGAAACTCAATAGTATATTTTTCTTAAGCGTAACAATGTAACATTCTAAAAAAATTCTTTAGTGTATTTTTTCTAAATGTAACACTCCAATCAATGTAACACACAAAAATTCCTTTGTGTATTTTTTTCTAAACGGAACATTCTAATATAATATTCCAATGTAATACCATAAAAATACACTAATAGAAATGTAGATTTTCATACTTGACAACCAACATTTCAGCAACCAATCTTCTCAAAAAGAATCTTCCACACCTCACCTCACCTTTTCATTCTCATCTCAAAAACGAATCAGAAAATTAAAAAATTGTCACAAAAGGGCATCTATATCTACATATCTATCTATATATTATATAAGTAATATGGGGTTTTAGTGAAAATAGCTAAGAGAACTCTAGGTTGGTGTTTAGGAAGTGGGTTTTTATGTACTCCCTCCTTCTCAAAATATTAGTCCCTTATTTTATTTTTTATTGTCCCAAAATATTAGTTCCTCTTCAAAAATCAAGTACAAAAATAATATAAATTTTCTATTTTGCCCTTCTTTTATATTAATAAACAATATAAAAAGTACATTTATAACATTGATATTCCTAAAAAATGTACTATCAAAAAGATAATTTTGAAAAATCAACTTTTTTAAAGTACAATAATTGTACTATCAAAAAAAGTTAGATTTCCCAAAATGGACCATTATTTTGGGACAGAGGGAGTAGATTTTTTTAGTTGTAGGATATTATTAGATAAAAAAATTTTGGTGTTTGAAAAGATAGTTAGGTTTTTTTGTGGTTGGATGTGATTTTTGTGAGAGAAAAAGTGAAATGATTATGGGGTTGAATGTGATATTTTGTTTGAATTTGTGTTTTTTTGATTTTGTAAAAAATTTGTCTTTTAGTGAAAAAAAAATCAAAAAAAAAACCCAACACACCAACTTCCTTAATCCAAATTTCTTAATTTTTTTAATTTAAAAAGATAATTAATAAATCACATACTAATACTTTCTTTTTAAACAAAGAATGCATTTTTTTATTCTTAAAATCATTCCTTCATTACCATCAAACAATGAAAGAGTTTACTAATTAAGAAAAAATAATTAATAAATCACACTCAAAAATATTTCATCATAAAATATTTTGTATTAAATTGTAAAATAGTTTATATAATTAAAATTTTCATACATAATAGGATTTTCATAAATAATTACTACTCAATGTATATATCAAACCTCATTATTTTCATACATAACGTTAATAGGATTTCTTTAAGGTTCAAACTCTTAACTCAATTTTTTAAAATTTTTTAATTTTTTTAATAATGAAAAATACTAAGTGTCATTATGCGTTACATTTTAATTAGTTCACAATTAAATTCATAGAGTTTTATATTAAACTATTTAATTATGCTACCATAATTACCATTTCAAATTACTCCCTTAATTTATGTTTATCATACCAAATTTATTTTCAAAATTGCTTCCCTAAGATTGCATTAATGCATGATTTTGATACATTCGTACATACATATATGGAAAATAATTAATTCTTTAATCTAAAATTTAAACATTATTGATTCTTTAACATGGCATGGGTTTCTCTCCAGTCCTCCATCGGATTGGAGAGGTGTTGTTAGGTCTTGTGGACTTACTTTTGAGCTCCATTTTGGTAATCTAAATTATTTATATTTTAAGATTCGTCGAGTACACTATACTTGTAAAAAATTAAGTCAATTAGATAAGAGCAACCATATGTTTCTATCAGTTTTCTATGAAAAAAATGGATTGTGAGAAAATAAATGATTCATGCAAAATTGATCCAAACACGTGATTTCCGTTATCTGATCGACTTAATTTTTTGCAGGGATGATGTACTCAACAAACCCTAAAATGTGACGGTTCAGATTATCAAAACGGGACCCAAAATTTGGCCCATTGAATGTTTAATCCAATATTAGAACCTCAAATTAGCTCATATCGGTCACCAATTAATAAATTATGATATAATTTATACATAATGGTTAAATTTGTTATTATCATATATTTTTACTAAGATTAAAGCTAAAATATGACATATAATTTAAGGTGGCTCTATCTTTAGATAATTTTTTAATATATGAATATATGTAACTATTTATTTTATAATATTAATATACATATATAATTTTTAACATAATTGATTAAGGCCGAAATGTACATCATTGAGGCCGCTAATTAGAATCTCTTAACTTCACTTGTTGGTCAAACTGTATACTTTATGTGTGTTGAGTGTCAATCAGGTTGTATATCGTCGGAGTATAAAATGGGCAAAAAGACAGAATTTGGACATAGTTGACTTTCCCGTACGTGCGTTGACTTTTTCCATACGTGCGTTGACTTTCTCGCACGTGCGTTGACTTTTTCTGGGAAAGTCAAACGGACGTTTTAAACCTGTTTGGATGAAATTGGAAGTATAAAAAGGCAAGTAAAAGGCTGGATTAGGGTTCTGAAGTTGTTTTGACCAAAAGGGAGAGGCTAGGGTTTGGAAAAGAGAAGGAAAACAAAAGCTTCAAGGATGTCTCCAATGGCGGTTCCTTCTCCATCTACCTCCTTCCACTCCTCTATGAGTGGCTAGTCTCTTTTTCTAAGGTTTTGATGAAACCCTAGCCATGTAATTATTTTGTTTTCTTTTTTATTTTAAATTATGTAAAGATTTGAACATTTGTATGGTGATTTAGAAGTTTCTTTATTATATTTTTCATTATCTCTTCGAATATTTGACTTTCTGTGATTGTTGAATATTATCCATACATGAGTTTTCTTTTCTTTCACATTCAAGGTATGGGACGAACCATGCTACGAGGAACGAGTCGTATCACTACCCTAGTTTAGAGTGAACGATTCGTATTACTTGAGATGGTTCGTGCTCGTACATTGAATGTGATGATCTTCTTGTTAAATGCTTTGAGCTTGTAGTTGCGAAGCATTAATCCGTTCAAACCATAGCATAATTAATTTCAATTGGAAGCTCTAATTATGTGGTTAGTGGTGAATTCTCTACCCTAGGATTTTTCCCCCAATTCAGTAAATCCAATTTCATTTATTATTGATAATTTAATTCTTTAGTTTAATTTATTCGTTATTAAATTAGGTTATAAACAACCAATCTTTCTATCAAAATTAATTTAGGAATTTGACAATTAGATTAGTTTAATTTCACAATAGTCTCTGTGAATCGATACTTGGATTTGCCATTATTCTGATTGAATTTGGTATAGTTTAGTGATTATATTTGGTGTGTTCAACGACCCACCAAATTTTGGCGCTGTTGCCGGGCAGTTCTGGCGAAATTAGTTAATTTAAAGTTACATTCTTATTTTAATTTTTAGTTTAGGATTTTATGCTTTTGGTGTTGCTAAGTGTGCAGAGTGTTTGAAATTGGAGCTATCATTGAAGTGCAAGCGGAGCGCAGCCGAGCTTAAAAAAAAAAAAACCGTAGCACTAAAGTGAGTAAACAGAAGCAAACACTCACAAGCAAAGAACCAAAGTGCTAAAACGAAAGTCAAAGCTCAATTGGGGGTTGGAAACAACGTCTACACGCCAAGCATCCGCAAGACGAGTAAAGCGTTTTCATTAAACCGCTGTGAGTATTTCCCTTTTAGCATTCCGCTTTCGTAACTTAGTGCACCAAGTCGAACTTATTGTGTGTGTGTGGGGGTAGTGTATGCACGGGCGTCGTTCTTGTCGCCCTGAATTGTGGAGTTTGAACCTTGAACTAGAAAGGACCTTTAGGAGACTTAGGGCCTCTGCCCGTGTTCCTAGGCTTGAATATTCATATTCATACATTGAGCCATTAGAGATGGCAGATCCTAATGTCCCGAATGTGCCCAACCGGACATTTAAGGATTATTTTACACCCACTGCATATACATCACCATCATGCATCCAATTACCCAACACCACTGCTGCTCATTATGAGATTAAGTCCAGCACCATACAAATGCTCCCATCATTCCATGGACTAACTCATGATGACCCTTATAAACATTTGAATGAATTTCTGGAAATTTGCTCGACAGTAAGGATCCAGAATTTCACAAATGAGGCCTTAATGTTGCGATTG